AACCAAATATGCTATGGAATTTTTAAAAACAATTTTTTAAAAACTTTTCACAGCAAAGATGCAATTCTCAATTGCTATACATATGCTGGTCATAACTGTGGCTTGCTTGTTCAGACTTCTTTCCCTTGCATTATAATATTGATATTTAATAGGAAAATAAACTACATAGATTTTTATCTGTATGCATCCATTTGCAAATTTCCTTACAAAAGAGGACAAAGCACATAGGCATTCACAAATTCTATGCCATTTCTGTTAAAATTGGTATCTATACACTATATTACAGTATTAACAATGTTTGTTCTACCCATTGGGTAGGATATGTGCATAATATATTCAAGTTATATACAGCACCTTACAAATAAAACATAAGAAAAGACAGACACCTGAAGAAGCACCATTGTAAGTGAGGCACAACAGAGGCAGGAGCACAGAGTGCAACAGTGGTGGGAGGTTGGTTCCTATGTCTGCTAAAACCAGAACACGAGACTACTTGATTGCTTAAAAACTACAGACATGCAGAGTCCTCTGAAGTGATATGGATTCATATAATATGCATGTATCTCTGTACAGCTCTTAAAGCCTCATCACATTACACAAAAATAAGCACACATGACAAAAGAAAGAAAAGAATGAAAGGAAGACAGTGCTTTCTTAGCAAGGTATCCACTCACACACGACAGCTTTCTAATGCAGCCAACCTAGAAAGCAGCAGCAGCAGCAGCAGCAGCAGCAGCAGCAGCAGCAGCAGCAGCAAATGACTGTCTAACCCTGGCAGAAATGATAAACTTGAATTATGCAAAAGATGTAGCACTATGGGTAGTAGGTAAAGTAACCTAAGCTTGATTCCCAAAAAATGTAGGATATCACAAGTCAGGAGAGTACTTTCCATTTTCTATCCATATCTTTGATCTCTGGATAGAAGGTTCTGGCAGCTGGTAGCAGGGCTTCGTTGGAATCTATAAAAGGTGCCGCAAAGCTGCCGAGACTATCATTTGTGACCTGGGATGAAAAGTAAAGTTTCTTAATCTGTGACTTTGGTGTGCCACTGTTAGATATCGTGTTCCTCATACTGAGGGGAGACTTGCCAGTTTGTCACTAAATCGTGTTATTTTATCTAAATTTGCCAAGGAATGGTAATCTAGGTGAATGTAAGCAGCACGGGAGCGTGCGTCCTTGCCCTTCAACTGGGGTTGGGGATGTTGGCAGCAAGCGAGGAGGCAGACTTGGGAAAACATGTCACAGTACAAAGGCTCAGTGCCAAGCACATGCATATTTCTGTTTTTAATCACTTAGACAAAATAAAAAAGTTAACAAAAACCAGGTATCCTTCCTAGGTTTTTTTCCTTCATACACTGTTGAGATTTCAAAATTCTAAGAAAAATGAACAGCATACCAATTAATGTTGCCCTTTTAAGTAGCAAATCTCAAGAAGCCAGCACCAGCACAACAAACACAAGATGTGAGGCGGCTCAGTGATGCAGGAGTGTATGCCGACATTGGATGGACTTGCTTTTGAGGGGTTGGGGCTAGACGGGGTGTATCTCAGGGCTATGGGCCAGTATCTGAAGGGCATCACACAAGGACTCTTAGTATAAAGGACTTCCTAGAGAAAAGAGCAATTGGATGGAAGATAGAGGATCGCCCCTGTCAGGATGCAACTACTGGTTCTGAGAGGAAGGCAGGAATTTGAATGGATTCTTCTAGATCAGAGAAGCTTTCTGAAAGTGCTTGCCTCTTGACACCTTCTCATTCCTATGAAGATGAAGGTGAAGAAGATCAAATAGAAATACTAAGAAGTTCAAGACGTACTCATCCGTGTACCACATTCCTATGCTGGTATTAGAAGGCCTCCAGTTTACTGTTGGCCTCTATTTCCTCTCCCATAAATTTGAGCTAAAATTAGTGGCTATATGTATATCCTCATGACAAATCTTTGTAAGTTTTAAATATTGTCTTCTGCTATCTTGAAATTTCTTGTGGCTTGTGTGTCCATGTGTATATGTAGTACAGGAGGTTAAGCTTCTTTAACACTAAATTTTGGTCAGGAACACAACAAATAGATTAACTTTTTAAATATATAATTCGTTTAAGCAAACTCTCCTTTGTACTAAGGACTGCTTCAGTGTCTAAAGAACACTAGACTTTCTGAAAAAGCAAATATATGCCTGAAGACTGTATTACTTTAAGTGGGACTCAAGAGGCTAAGCCTCAAGACAATTCAAGTCATGGTTTCATATGTCTCTGTCTTTAAATAACTATTTAACTTAAAGGGCAATTCTCTAGAGTGGCTGAATGGGAGGAACCTTTCTTTTGAAGGATGATTAAAGTTATTTGAATTAAATAATTATTTTTGCCAATACTGTGGACATCTGCAAAATGTTTGTATACTTACAAAATGACTAAGGAATTTACAAGTTACTGACCTTTGTTCATTTTTGCAGCAGGTAGGAATGTTAAGGACTGTAAAACCATTTTGAGTTAGAGCTATAGGGTGGGTTCACCTGCTTTATCAAAATTGCAGGCAAGGTTTGGAATGATGGCATCATTAACTAACTTTGTCATTTTGCATCTGAGAGAACACCTGACCAATAATCTACCCTGAATCCCCACCAATGGAGTGCTGACTGGAACAAGTGCTTCTTAATCTTCCCTTGACTGGGAGAAATGAGGCTTCATTCCACAAAGTTTGCCAGCTTCCTTCAAGCACAGGCTTGTGATCCAGGCAATGAGCTGACCCGTCAGGAGGCTCTAGGGAAGTGGGAAAGACCTGAGTCTCTGGTCCTGAGTCAAGGCTCCCAGGGCTCTGCCCAGTCTTGGAATGCCTATTGCAACCCTCAGCATACACGCTTCCAAAGAGAGCCTGGAATATAAATGACAACTGTTGCTCACCTTTTTTCTCCAAGAGTTTGACTAGTTCCGTGGATGTTTCTGGGTGAAATGAATAAATCTAATGAAGATTCTAATCCTCAAAACTCAACCAAAACCAGTGACCTACCAACCAGCCAAGAGAAGCAGCAGAAAGGAGCAGAGAGTAGCAGACAGGACTTGCAGTTCAGACCAGTCTTTCAGGTTTCAGACAACAGCACGAAGTCACCTCACTGGGAAATTCACCTTGGAGACCCAGAGACAGAAATGAACACACATGTGCTTATTTGGCATTAAAAATGCAGAGATCAGAGTCACTGAGTCATCATTCCAATTCATTTTGTTACGTACAGAGGCCAAAGGGACCTAACCTGCTCAGAGCAGGCGAGTTGCTACAGAGAAGCCCTCCCATGGTGCGGTATCGGTTGAAATTATCGGTTTGTGCTGTTATAAACCCCAAATGCTTACTTCTGCAGAAGAAAGTTATTTATTTTACATAAGGACAAATTTTTGTAAATCTCAGCAATATTAAAACTAGGACTAACAATATTTAAAATGTTTCTAGTTGCATTTTAACTGCATGTTGTGCTTTTTATCCTGTGCTTTTAAAGTCACCCCTCCACACACACACCCCTGCCATGCACTGTTTTGTAACTGACCACCCAGTTCTGGCCACCACTGTAAAAGCTGAGTGAACTCCCACAGGAGTTTGGGTTTTGAGCACTGCATTCCTCCAAGAATGCTGCACCAATACTTTTGAAGTGTAATGGCTTATTATCATGCTCGGCAATGTGGCGTTCTTTTGTCAATTCCAGGGACTTCCTATACATAAAGAACCCACTGCCGGCATCACTCACACCAAGGCCAGGCGGCTGCATGGGGAGGGACTGCTGAGAGTCTCTCGAACACTGATCAGCCGTCCAGGATTGAACTGAACTATCTAGGAAAGGAGAGAGACAATGAGAATACACTGAGAAATCATATATTTCAACAATATTAAAAATAACCACCTTGCATTTTAAATAATTTATTGCATAAAATAATGTATGTATCTGAGTATGTTTCATGCTACAGTGAAACAAACCTAAATGATTGAAGAAACTGCACTGCTGGAGGATGAGAGCAGCACTTTATGATACTGGATACATAAATGCTTGTGTTGGGTTCATTTTTTAATAAAATATGCAGCCTAAGACAAGCTGAGTAACTCAACAAGTAAGAAATGCTGGAACTTAGTACTTCCTATCTTTCATCCAAAAGTCTTCAAATGCTTCAGTGATGCACTGCTATCTAATGCAAATTCTTAAAATAATAACGACTTTCTTGATTTATGTAAGTTAGCATATGTTAGGCTACCTCCCTAAATATCTTTCCTTGCGTGATTGTGGGGAACATTCCGGGGTATCCCTTGAGCCTAATAATAATCCACAGGTGAAAAGACAACATACAGAACTTCATGTAACACAGTTCTCTCATATATATTTGAAACAATTAAGATAGTGCAACTTTTAAAAACACATTATCATAACAACACAAATTAACTCCTTGCATTCATCTAACTTCTCTACTTTATACCTTGGCACAAAAACAGGAATTTTGAAACATATTTTTAAAATAAAATAAAAGTTCCACACCTTGGAATAAAAAGCAAACTGGCCAATTCTTCCCCATGAGAATATATAATAATGCTTCCTTCTTTATTCAGTTAATTATAAAACAGGCTGTTCTGGCCTCTTTCTCTGCAGTCTCCTTTCATAATTAAATAAATCAAATACCTCCGTGGGTTTCACTTCATGATATCTTCAAAGCATGCCTTTCTCTGTGTTTCCATGACCGCCTTTTGCCAAAACCATCCCTT